TGTATGTATGTATGTATGTATATACATGTATGTATGTATGTATGTATGTATGTATATACATGTATGTATGTATGTATATATATGTATGTATGTGTGTATGTATGTATGTATATATATGTATGTATGTGTGTATGTATGTATTTATATATGTATGTATGTGTATGTATGTATGTATATGTATGTGTGTATGTATGTATGTATGTATGTATATGTATGTATGTATATGTATGTATGTATGTGTACATATATATGTATATGCATGTATGTGTACATATATATGTATATGCATGTATGTGTGTATATATATATATATGTATATGCATGTATGTGTGTATATATATATATGTATATGCATGTATGTGTGTATATATATATATGTATATGCATGTATGTGTGTATATATGTATATGCATGTATGTGTGTGTATATATATGTATATGTATATTCATGTATGTGTGTATATATGTATATATATATATGTATATATATATATGTGTATATATATGTATATATATGTATATATATGTATATATATGTATATATATATATGCATATTTATATATGTATGCATATATATGTATATATATATATGCATACATTGATACATATATATATATATATGTATCAATCAATCAATCAATCAACTTTATTTATATAGCACATTTTAAAAACCACAAGGGTAGCCAAAGTGCTGCACAATAAAACAATAAAAACAAACAAAACAATAAAAACATACAAAGCATACACAAAGAAACATAAAAACCATTCACATACCAGTTTCACAGCAGGTGTATTAAAAAGCCATAAAAGATAAGATCACGTGTTAAAAGCCAAAGAATAAAAGTGTGTCTTTAAAAGAGATTTAAAAACAGGAAGAGAGGAGACCTGTCTGACACTCAAGGGTAAAGTGTTCCACAACCTGGGAGCAACAACAGCAAACGCTCTGTCACCTCTGAGCTTCAGCCTAGTTTTAGGGACTGTCAGCATCAGCTGATCAGCTGATCGTAGGGATCGGGGTGGACAGTAAGGCTGAAGCAGCTCAGACAGATATGGTGGGGCAAGGTTGTTCAGACATTTAAAAACAAACAGCAAAAGCTTAAAATTAATTCTGTAGTGCACAGGGAGCCAATGAAGGGACGCCAGGATGGGAGTAATATGCTCGCGCCTACGAGCCTGAGTTAACAGGCGAGCAGCAGAGTTCTGCACAAGCTGCAAACGAGCAAGAGACGTCTGGCTAATGCCTGCGTACAGCGCATTACAGTAGTCAAGACGAGCTGTGATAAAAGCATGAATTAATTTCTCCAAGTCAGGTCTTGCTAGGATTGGTTTCACTTTTGCTATTTGGCGGAGTTGATAAAAACTTTTCTGAACAACACTGCTGATCTGTTTTTCAAATTTAAAATCAGACTCAAACTTCACCCCCAGATTGGTGACACAGTCCTTGAGATAAAATGACAGTGAGCCAAGATCTATGCTGGGAGAGGAACGGCAACTTGGTCCAAACATCATAACTTCAGTCTTGTTCTCATTTAGACTAAGGAAGTTAAGAGAGAACCATGTCTTAACATCATTAAGGCAGTGTGTAAGTTGTTGAACTGTGTTGTTTTGTGCCATGGGAAAATAGATCTGGCAATCATCAGCATAAAAGTGAAATAAAATGCCATGCTTCCTAAAAATCGAGCCAAGGGGGAGTAAGTAAAGGGCAAATAAAAGAGGGCCAAGGATTGAGCCCTGGGGGACACCATGTGGAAGAGGAGCAGTGGAAGACATAAAATTGTCGATTTTTACGCAGAAACTCCTATTGGTTAAATATGACCGAAACCAATTGAGGGCGACACCCCTGATGCCCACACAGTGCTCAAGACGAGAGATTAAAATGCTGTGATCAACAGTGTCAAATGTAGCAGACAAATCTAAGAGCACTAAAACAACAGACTTTCCGGAGTCTGTGGACAAGAATATATAATTTGAAACCCTCAAAAGTGCACTCTCTGTACTGTGGCGGGCTTTAAACCCAGACTGAAACAGCTCAGTGATACCATGGTCCTCTAAAAATGGTAACAACTGGTTGTAAACAACCTTCTCTAATAGTTCTGAAATAAATGGGAGATTAGAGATAGGCCTGAAATTGGAGCAGAGAGAGGGGTCAAGGCCTGTTTTTTTGAGTAGAGGGCGTACAAATGCATGGTTAAAAGCCTCAGGTACTATACCAGAGGAAAGACTGCAATTGATAATCTGAAGTACTCTTGGTTCAATAGTGGAAAATACCTCCTTAAACAAACGAGGTGGGATGGAATCTGCAGGAGAACCAGAGGGCCTCATATGATCAACTGTGTCCTGTAGAAAAGAGAAGGACACCGGCTCAAACTGATCAAAAACAGATGAGTGGTGTAGAGGAATAGAAGGATCATAGGAAGGCTGAGAAATACAAGCTCTGGTTGACACAATTTTATCAGTGAAGAAGTGGAGGAAACTCACAGATTTCAGTGGAGGCATCAAAACCAACAGACTTGGGAGCATG